ACAGAAGTGATAATGATTGCCTTAAAGAAAAAGACGAAAGCTACAAAATGCAGCGACCATCGCACAATAAGCCTTATTGCACATACAGCAAAGATAATAGCAAAGAACCTTAAAAGAAAAATTGTAAGGAAAATAGAGGATGTACTTGGGGAGGATCAGTTTGGATTTAGAAGAGGAAAAGGAACCAGGGATGCAATTGGAAATTTGAGAATTATAGTGGAACGAACTTTGGAGATAGATGAAGAACTGTGTGTTTGCTTCATAGACTGGAAGAAGGCATTTGACCATGTAAATTGGACCAAATTAATGCAGATCCTGAAGGAAAGAGGTATTGATTGGCTTGAAAGAAGATTGATTAGCAAATTGTACATGGATCAGAAAGTTAGAGTACGACTGGACACAGGGGAGACAAGAAGTGTGAAGATTGGAAGAGGAGTTCGACAAGGATGCTGTTTATCACCAATTCTGTTCAACTTGTACAGCGAATGCCTTACCAAAGAAGCTCTGGATGGTCTTGGAGACTTCAAATTAGGAGGGCAAATTATTCAAACTGTGCAATATGCAGATGACCTTGTGTTAATGGCTAAGGAAGAAACTGTGCTACAGGGCATGATTGATAGACTAATTGAAATTGGAAGGTGCTATGGCATGGAAATGAATGTGGAAAAAACAAAAGTAATGAAAATTTCGAGACAACCAACCCCAGTCACAATAAAGATAGACCAAAAACAACTGGAGAATGTGAAATGTTTTAAATATTTGGGTAGCTTGTTAACAGATGATGGAAGGTGAACGTGTGAAATTAAATCCAGGATTGCCATGGTAAAAGCTTCATTTAGCAAGAAGAAGAATTTTTTACAAGCAAATTGGATTTAAATTTGAGAAAGAAACTAGTGAAATGCTACATTTGGAGCATAGCTCTGTATGGGGCTGAAACATGGACACTTAGGGCAGTAGATCAGAAACATCTGGAAAGTTTCGAAATGTGGTGTTGGAGAAGGATGGAGATCAGTTGGACCGATTATGTGAGAAATGAAGAAATGTTAATTAGAGTCAGTGGGCAGAGGAATATCCTACACGAAATAAGAAAACGGAAGGCTACTAATTGAATTGGTCATATCTTACGCGGTAACTGCCTTCTAAAACAAGTTATTGAAGGAAAGATAGAGGGGCGGATAGAAGTGACCAGAAGACGAGGAAGAAGACGTAAGAAGATGCTGGATGACCTTGGGGACAGAAGAGGATACTGTCATTTCAGGGAGAAAGCTCTAGATCGCATTAAGTGGAGGAACTGTTTTGGAAGAGATTGTGGACCTGTTGTCTTGACAGATTACCGATGAATGAATGAATATAAAAAAGAGTCCTGTATAGAGAGTGTATACTTTGCTCCCGAACATCTCTGAATTGCCAGTTCCGGTTCCGGTGTTCATTAACTTTTGTCACTTCTGTTATATATAGTTTGGTGCACTATCAAACGCGATTTTCATATGTACGTATGTATACATATGGGCTGTGTCTGTTTAATGAAGAAAGTTCATATTGACATCAAAAGAATTTCATTCGATTTGGTCCGAATTTATTGTGTGATGATTATCAGCGGTAATATTTCCCTTACGAATTATCATAGCTTGTGTGTTTGTTTATAGCTGATACAGTAATATACTAAGCAATAATACAGTGCGTACAATCAAGTGCGCGCCGCGGCTGCAATTTGCCGTGAGTCATACCACNCCGCGACTGCATCCGTTCTGCGGTGGTATGACTCACGGCAAATTGCAGCCGCGGCGCGCACTTGATTGTACGCACTGTACAATCAAATCTATAGAGTATATTTCCTGGGAGGCGATGCCTTGTAATCTGGTAGAAGTTTATCAATATTCCTTCGAATAATTGGTAAAGTTCTATCAGACTTTACGGCGTCACATTCCGAATGTTATCGCCGTAAGACCCCAAAATCTCACAATGTAATGTTCTGTAACACTGATAACATCTGAAACAAAATAACACTTACACAGCTATGCATGAATGTACAAGGAATTTTCATAGGGATTCACTCCCATATTTTAATATCAGATGTTTCTCAGAAGTTGTTCCTTTAATTAACCAGTTTTATTCAAAATTAGTGCTTTAATAAATGTACTAAGTTTCGTGGGTGTTTTTTATTGTTAGTGGGGTGGGACTAAGTCCCTTGTACTGCGGTCACTTCTGGCCTATTGTACCAGCCCCAGATGATTGGTGAGGGTGATTGTGGAGCAATTGGTGGAATGAAGATCGGCAGGGGAAACCGAAGTACGCGGAGAAAACCTGCCCCAGCGCCACTTTGTCCATCACAAATCCCACTTAACCAGACCCGGGATCGAAGCCGGACCGCCGCGGTGGGAAGCCAGCGACTAACCGCTTGAGCTATGGCGCGGCCAAAGTTTCATGTTAACAGTAGGTCATATTTCAGCCAGAAATCTACAATCACACGCACTATATTCTTTGCCTTCAATCGCGCGGCAGAGGGCATGTGAGAGCTTTCCTGTTACTAGAGACATCTGATGGGCTTACTGACAATGAATGCGACATACAGACTACCAACATTGCAAGAGAAATGTACGAGTATTTATAGGAATAAGCATATTGCAACTGAACCTTTGAAGCCTGAAGAGAAAGAAACAAATCGAAACGGATTAGTGTGAGGCAATACATTTTATGAGGGGAAACAGAACAATTGCCAGCTTTGAAGGTTCTCAGGCAATGCCTACTCGTGTTTTTGTTGAAGAGGTGGGAAGTGAATCAGGTAAAGCGATGGGAAGTGGGTTTCTTTAGAAGCAGGGAATATAACTTAAAATGGTCTTTATTTTGTTCGAGTGGGTTATGTATTTTAACGTTGGGGGGGGGGGGCATTAGGGTGAAATTTTGAGTCAAAATTGGACCCGGGACCCCTGGATCTCTAGCCAGGAACTGTAACCACTACATCACAGAGGCGGTAGAATCACTAACAATGTTGAAATTTATTATGTGAGATACTGTTAAATAAGAGATAGTGGGGGAGGGGGTACAGAGAAGGAAACCCCTTTCCTTATCAGTCCTTCGCACGCTCTCCGTGAATTCGTCGACAGTCAAATTCACGTCTGTTTTTGAAAGAACTGTGTTCGCCTGAGGAACCGATGCGTTGTCAATATATTGTATTCTGTATTTTATTTTTGTAAAGTAAAAAGTAAAAGTAAAGGTATCCCTGTAACAGGACGTGAAGGCCCATAGGGTTGTAAGACGTTGAGGATCCCATACTAAGCAATCGGCTCAAAGATGGCAGTAAGGTTGTCAGCCTTACGCGCCGGCCGCGCTTTACTCCCCAGGAAAATTATTTAATTAATTCCTGGTACTCATTTCAGTTAGAGGCTGAGTGAACCCCAGGGCCATAGTGCGGCCGGAAGGATTAGGTCAATTGAAAACACTCCAATGACCTCATCGGTATTTGAACCCGCGACCTTCCGACTTGTAGCATAGTGCCTTAACCATTTTATTTTTGGAAGAACACAAAGATAGTAGGCACACATTCTGGTATACTGTTTATAAAAGGAATGGAATCTCACGAGTTTGTGCGCTCGACTGACATTAAATTGTTACCAGATTGCCATGGCAAGAGTGTTAACATGTGAACGTGAAATAACGCAATCTACCTTCGTCGGCAGTAATACTTGAAGGAACGTCGAAAAGAGAGACTCCTTTAGAGTACACGCCCCTTAAAATATGGTTTTAGACTTGTGGGATGTCGATGGTCTAATAGACAACCACATAAAAAGTTTGCGGGCCCTGAAAAGGGCCGTTTGTTCGACCGTGCTTGCTTCAGTAGCGTTTGCTATTTTGTAGCAGACCAGATATACGGCCGTTCAGCTGATTGGCTAGCGCACGTGATGATCTACAGGTGGGGTGGACATCGAGTGCTGTATAAATACGAGTGCTGGCCGCAATGTGACATTGGGAATAAGTGTGTATTTGTAAATGCATGTAAATACAGACAGTGGGCTTACTAATACAGATTGACTGACAAATGACAGACCCGACCTCTCGTCAGAGAGGGCGCCCCACATAGACGAGAGAGTAACTTCATTCAAAAGAAATATCTGGTCATGAGCCCCAGCAGACTGACTGACCGTCAGTTGCAACATGACTTTGACTTTGAATGTGACATTGACTTGGCTTGAGCAGAAGTTGAATGATGTCTGTTAGACAGACGAAACTGCGTGTTAGTATGTGGAGGTTCCCACAGACTAATTTAAATGGCCCTGAAAACAGGTTACATATATTTTTTTTAGTATATTTTATTATTAATTCACCATATGGGAAAATGCTACAAATTAAAGCTTAGTTCGTAGACTATACCCATGTCCTTTCCGCATTTTATAGGAGGTAAGGTTTCTGAACAGATGAGTGCTATTTGAGCTTCATGTACGAGTACTGTAGGCAGACAGCCTCTGGGGGCTACCCAACCTCCAATATAATGGGTGCCGAGGTTGTTTCCCCAGGGGTTAAAGCGACAGATGTACGAAATTGACCATTCACCTCCATGTAATGCCGAAGTTAAGAGAAATAGAGCTATACCTAAACTCCCCTTTACATCTTCATGGTTTGGTGCTTAATTAATTAAGCACAGGCATAATTATGCTTTTACCTTTTCCTTATGTACAAAAATTAAACTTTCCATAGAACTACAGTGTTGATCGCCATCAATCGAAATCTATTCAGTAGTTTCAGACTACAGACAGACGGACGCGACTTCCCATATACGTATTTTTGAACTTTATTCAAAGAACGCGTAAAAAATTATCCAGACAATAACATACAGAAGAACTATCATATTTTTGTTACTTCATTGTTATAACGAATAAAATCAATTCCCACTGCGCTTACCGGTACCCCTAGTGACTTTTAGACTATTGTGTTGGCGACACTGAGCAGCTGTGATATATGCAATTTGTTCTTAGCTACAGAGCGCTACAAAGTGTGAGCGCTGTAGTTAGTTCGTGGATGTATGTTAGCGGTTGAGGTACGGTGCTGTACAGTGGATGTACAGAAATCCATGAGAGCGTGTCACGTGCAAGTAGGGGTGCAGGTAAGGAAATTGTCCATGAACCAATGCAAGTGCAATTCACCGGAGACAGTCCGTCGATATTTCAGCAATTAGAACAGCCCATGGGCGATATCGTGATAAGCGATAACAGCATTGTCGGCGGAATCCTTGATGTGGCGATGAAACAAGGGGGCACAAAACAACTAGTTCAGGAACCGAACATCGCCGTGAGCAACAGTAACAGTGATAGTGCTGTAGGAGATGTATCGAATGTGTCCGTAGATAATCGAAATTTGGACGTCGGCTCCGATTCCAAACGTTACGAACCTAAAATGCCACCAGCACTAACTATACCGCCGGTTTTGAACATTGATTCACAAAATTACATGCTCCATGTTTCAAATTCGTCCGAGACGAGACCTCGGTCCTTCAGCTTCACAAATGGAGCTACAAAGACAAATACTATCAGCAACAGTCGACAATTAATGGAACGTCATTATCATGCCAACAAGAGTCCAATGGATTTGGATATGTTCTGTGTCAGGGAGACTGTGAATTCCATAGCCGCTGCTGTGTTGGCTTGTGCACCTAACGTTCAGCAGCCAAGCACATCTCCGTCCCTGGCACCGAATATTGGGTTCGATACTCAGGGGTGTGCCAGACCACTTTCTTTCCATAACCTGATGTGCTCGTGTAACGTAACCTGCTGCTGTATGTGTGCCACACTGTGTTCACCAGATTGTCATGCCTGCTTCCACTCGCTGCGTGATAAACACACCTTCCAGAAAAGCGATGTTGTGCCTCAGTTAGCCGGTAACAAGAAGAAGGTGAGTACTGCCAGTAAGGCTATAAGTACAGTAGTTTTGTAACACAGTTGTGTTAAATCTGTGAAATTATGCATGCCTGTCAAATCTCGTAAAGATGACGCAAACGGAGAAAGCTGGAAATATAAAGAATGGATTTCATCTTGTAGTACTCGTCGAACCAGCATAATGTGTGGTTATAGTATACAGAGGCATTGAGGAGACACGGGCTGGTTGCCATCTTGCATCTGCAATGTTAGGCCTTTTCATTTCTTCAGATAATGTAAAAGTATGGTTAGGTTTTGAGTTACAGTTTTAAAAATGAGCATTAATGTTGGCAGGGTGTGTGGCAACGTGCTCCACTGGTACCTCCGCAAACTAGAATCTCAGGAATTGTATACTGTACTCTGGTTATGTAACCGTGGTTATGTTTGATTACGTAAGTCGTGGCCAAACCTCAGAAATACTTTTTATAATGAAAGTAGAAGACTGGGAATGTGGTGTCAAGGACATTTAAGCCGCATTATATTGAAGATAAGAATAATTACGCTTTGTACGTAGTCACCACCCCCATCGCCAACAACATTTAATCTGTTGCATAAAAGTTAATTATATTTACAGTTCAGTTAAAATTAATTTTATGCATACCGCCTTTCACCGTGTACGGGTGACATCAAGTACTTGAGAATTTCTGTGCTTGAATGGCATATTAAGTTTATTTTGTCCTTCTTATTTAAAGTAATTTTAACATTTTTAAATAAATAAGCAATCCTTGCAGGAATAGCCAATTTATCTTGAGCTGCACCACTTAATGTATTAATCAGCCAATTCTCATTTGATAGACCTTTTTTTTTTGTGGTAAATTTATATTTTCTGACACGAAGGCTCTTACGAATTTTCCATTTGGGTATTTCTAACCACAGATGTCTTGGGAGAAAAAAGACTGTGAGTTTTTGTCACATATGAATATGCTTATTGAAGATTGTATCGTCCGTTTTCCTGGGTGTAAGTCTAAGGGTTGAGACTTATATTTAGTTATGTATGAAATTAAGCCCAGTATAAAAATAGTTTTACGTCGTCCGCATACATTTATGCAACTTTTGTTGACCCCCCCCCCCTGTTAAGAATTTAAACAGGAACTTGGTGACTACAGAAATTCATATTTTTGTTTCTACCTAATTTTCTCCGCAGTCACTTCTAGACTAATCTTACCAGTAATGAATTTTCCGTGCAGTTCTTTGTGGCATTTACGTGTTAAAAAAATATTTTATTATCATCAGTCTCCAAGAAAGCCTATGATTCAGTTAGGAGGGAATCATTGTACAATATTCTAATAGAGTTTGGGATACCAATGAAACTAGTTAGGCTGATTAAAATGTGTTTAAACGAAATGTATAGTAAAGTCCGTGTAGGTAAACATTTGTCTGATAAATTTTCTATCCAGAATGGTCTAAAGCAAGGAGGTGCTTTATCGCCACTTTTTTTCAACGTTGCCTTAGAATATGCAATTAGGAAGGTCCAGGGATGCCGATGATGTGAATCTACTGGGTGAGAATGTAGATACCATAAAGAAAATCACACAAACTTTAATTGACGCAAGTAAAGGTTGGTCACCGGTCGCGGCTTCCGAGCGGTCTAAGGCATGCACTGTCTTCGCTCGCTCGGAAACCGGGATCGTGGGTTCGGATCTGTTTCCTGTGAGGTACGAACTGAATTCTTATATATTATTCTTATACACTGCCGGTCACAGTAGCCGAGCGGTCTAAGGCATGTACTGTCTTCGCTCGCTTGGAAGCCGGGATCGTGGGTTCGAATCCCACTCAGGGCATGGATGTTTGTGTCTGTGTTTGTCTACAGGTAGAGGCCTTGCGACGAGCTGATCACCCGCCCAAGGAGTGCTACTGAATGTGTAAGATCTAGAAAAACCGAAGTGAATGGAGAAGTTCATGGAGGTAGGCCTAGGCCCACTAGGGCTGTAATGCCAAGGGGAAAAAAAAGTGGTTGGTCTAGAAGTATTGTCTAGTCACAAAATGCAGGGAAAAATTATGACATAAAGATAGAAAACAGATGTTTTGAAAATGTGGCACATTTCAGACATTTGGGAACGACCATAACAGATCAAAATCTGAATCAGGAGGGGATTAAGAGGAGACTGAACTCCGGTAATGCTTGCTACCATTCATTCCAGAACCTTTTGTCTTCTCGTCTGTTGTCCAAAAACACAAAAATTAGAATATACAAAACTATTATTTTCCCGTGGTTCTGTATGGGTGTGAAACTTGGTCTCTGACGTTAAGAGAGGAACATAGACTGAGGGTGTTTGAGAACAGGATGTTGAGGAGAATATTTGGACCGAAGAGAGATGAAGTGACAGGAGGTTGGAGAAAACTGCATAATGAGGAGCTTCATAATTTGTACTCTTCTCCAAGTATAATTAGAATGATCAAGTCAAGGAGGGTGAGGTGGGCAGGTCAGGTAGCACGAATGAGGGAGAGGAGGAATGCGTATAGGATATTGATGGGAAAGCCAGAAGGAAAGAGACCACAGGGAAGACCAAGGTGTAGGTGGGTGGACAATATTAGAATGGATCTTAGAGAGATAGGATGGGATGGTATGGATTGGATAGATCTGGCTGAGGATAGGGATCAGTGGAGGACTCTCGTGAACACGGTAATGAACCTTCGGGTTCCATAAATTGCTGGGAAATTCTTGAGTAGCTGCAGAATTGGCGGTTCCTCCAGAAGGGCTCAGCTCCATGAGTAAGTAAGTAAATACTAGACAAGAAGCTTATTCGTCCCTTTCACGTCAGCCCTTTTTGATTTTCTTGGAACGCACTAATGATTTAATCTTAAGTGTAGTTGAGTACAGCCGGTCACGGTAACCGAGCGGTCTAAGGCATGCACTGTCTTCGCTCGCTTGGAAACCGGGATCATGGGTTCGAATCCCACACGAGGCTTGAATTTTTGGTATGTGTATGTGTTTATTCTGTGTTTGTGTTGTCCTGTGTTTAGGTAGGGGCCTTGCGACGAGCTGATCACTCGTCCAAGGAGTCCTACCGTCTGTAAAATGATCATGAAACTGAAAAAATCAGAGGTCAGGCTCCAAGGGGGGGGGCTGTAGAGCCAGTGGAAAGAAAAATAGTTGAAAGAAATTTCGATAAAGGCAACTTATTATTTCTGATCATTTGGAATAGGAGCTATCTATCTATGGCTCTACAGTCCTTGTGGACCTTGGCTGCTTTTTCAGTTTCTTAATCTGTACACAGGACTCCTTGGACGGGGGATCAGCCCCTTAGCAAGGCCGCTGCCAACATACAGAACAGTACAAACACAGAATAAATCCACACAGACATTCATGTCGTAAGTGGGATTCGAACTCACGATCACAGCGTTCGAGTGGGCGAAGACGGTTCATGCCTTAGACCTCGCGGTCACTGCGATCGGCTCCAAATACATACTGACTTCAGTATTGGTTTCGTAAGTTCCTCCCCTTCTCCCACCAGGCCCTAACCTACTCATATACGAAGGGGTACTAATGAGCTCCCCTCCACACGTCATTTTAATCAATTCACAACAATTTGCCGAATGTATTTATACAGATTGCAAATAAATGGGGATCTCAACCAAAAGTATTGGTTTTACGTAAACACATTTTGATTAGCTCAGTAACATTTATTGGGGGGGGGGGTATACCAAATAAAATTTGAATTTAGTGTGACACTTCTCTCTTAACTGAGTTAGAGGCATTTTTAAAGTACCATAAATAACTGATGTTCTAAGTAGTTACTATAGGATTCTGACGATGGTGTATAACACACTGATATATTGGGTTTTTGGACTTTATCCATCGTCTTGGTTTTTAAGATAACTAAAAAAAACACGACGTTTCGGAAACTGGATCTGTTTCCGTCCTCAGGTGAAGGAAAAACACCTATTCTGTTGGGTCCGTTACTGTTTGGTCCAGTGATTGAGGCTAGCTCTTTCTAACGGACCCAACAGAATAGGTGTTTTTCCTTCACCTGAGGACGGAAACAGATCCAGTTTCCGAAACGTCGTGTATTTTATTAGTTATCTTAAAAACCAAGACGATGGATAAAGTCCAAAAACCCAATATATCAGTGAACTGATATTTTGTTTCGTTGTTATCTAGTGTTTTATTTTTAGTGTCTCAGCATTGCAGAATATCTAGTTGATATATTGTATTGATCCACGCTGGCGATCTGTAATACTTTTCTCTATATATGAAAAAAGACAATGCAGGAAGTAGTGTAATTTCTGATTTTGTATACCACAGTGTCAGCATCTCTGTGTTTCTGTAATAGTCTGCCCAGAACATTGTTGCAGTCTACTTTGCTACAGTTTAAATGTTACTGTGTTGTAATAATGCACTTATTGAAATTTTAGTGCTGACCATTGCTTGCAAGCTTATGGTTCAGTAACTGTTTTTTGTATATACGGTGTTCATTCATTTTGAAAGCAGTTTTATGCAGAATGGAGGAACTGTAAAGATAGACACAATATTGCATCCAAAAATAGACTTACATCACAGTATTCCACGTTGTTGACAGTGTACGGGTCAGGATGTGGGTACTATATTCGAACCTGGAAAAAACATTTATTTCTCGACATATCCTCTACCAACATTGATACACTGGTCCAATCGCTTTACCAGTGCGTCGAAATCCACAGCGCAGAAGTCGTTTGATTGTTGTCTAAGCCACTTCCGAACCTGGTCGGGCATCATCTGCGACTTTCGAACGCCCTTGAGAGAATTTCTCGACCCAATTGTGAACCGTTTTACGCGACAAATACTTCCCACCGCAAACAGGAAACATTTCATTACGATTTTCCTTTGCATTGAGTCTTTTTAATCACAAAAGAGGCAAAACAGAACGCTGCTCTTCGGTAGTATCCACTGTAAGCACGGTCACCATTTTTACTACTGAAACCAGCCTCTGAGCATGCGCTTTCACGGCTGCTACCTAGACTGACATGAAGCTGGAATGTTCTGCTATCTAGTGATTC